ATGTTCATAATCTTAATAAATACCAGAATAATAATCAACATTATTATATTAATAAATAAAATTATGATATCATTGTAAAATCTTTGAATGTTGCTTAAGTGATTTTGAAAAAATTCTACAGTAAAATAAGTCTAAAGTAAACTGCTGGTCTGACTTCTATTTTGAAAACGTATCCCTTGTAATGATATATTTGCTAAAGAGACTCAATCTAATTACGTTTCTTATACTAAAAATATGTTTAAATCTGTGCATTCTTCAGTTTTGTGGTGTAAATGTTTATTTGGCTAAATGCGTTTAAACAGCCTCAAACTAAATGCGTGTCCACTGCGCTGTTGTTGTCGCATTGGTAGTGACGTGTTTTTTGGAGTGCCTGCTGTCTAGTGAGGTGCTGAGCGGGCATTTAGGGCCTACTCACACGTTTAAGAAGTGTGAGTGCGCTGAATCGGGCTCAAGCACGGCTCATTTAGCCGGCCCTGGCTCGGTTGGAATAGGTGGGCCAGAGTGCGGTTCACTTGGGCTTTGGCGCGGTATGTTTGTAGTGTGAGTGCAAAACGCCCGAAACTGAAAGCGAGACGTGACTTTTAAGGGACTGTATCATATGGATTTATTCATCATTCTTACTGTTCAGTGAATGCAAACTCCTTACTGCACGACAGCTGCGCACCTTTACCAAACCTCCTTATTGCTGCAGCACGAGGGCTTCATGATTGTTTATGAGCGCCAAAAGTGGCGGATCTGTTCGGCGAAATATCTGACTGCGTGTTACCGCATGCCTAAGGACTGTTTGGCGAAATATTTGACTGCATGTCACTGCATAACAAACAACTTAAACGATATAGCTAGAGAAATCTCCACTGTGCTGCTGAGTGAGAGAGCGCTTCTCACTGAACAGCGCAGCAGCGATGACGTAAGCGTGTCTAGGCCCGATTGTGGTGTGAGTGCGGGCCGTCGGGGGAGACAGGAGGGGGGACAAGCGTGCTTTGGCCCGGTTCGAGGCAACTGTACCTAGTGTGAGTATGGCCTTAATGTTCAACACCGAGAGATCATAGTTTTGTTTTTAAGTCATTGACTTTAAACCTGCAATGGTACCATGCGAAATTCTCAGTATCATAGCAACCGACTGAAAAAATAAATAATGCGCTGCAAAAATGTTTACAGCTGTGCATTTTCCCAACTTGCTCACATTTCTGCTGCGCAAATGTAAAAGTTATGGGATGCATTTAAAAAAAAAACTTTTCTGCATTGTACCAAAATGCCATTGTCAAACTTTGAGTGGAAATACAGCTATTGAAAATATATGTTAATAGCACGTGGAAACAAGAAAATTGTTGCATCCCAAATGACACACTATACTACCTGACAAAGTCTTGTTGTCGCTCCCAGTTGTAAGAGAAACAAATAATCACTTGACTTCTAGTTAATCATTTGAAAAGTGGCAGAAGGCAGAATTTTCCAATGAATCATCTGTTGAACTGCATCCCAATCAGCACAAATACTGCAGAAGACCTATTGCAACCCACATGGTCCCAAGATTCTCATGGAAATCAGTCAAGTTTAATGAAGAAAAGATTATGATTTGGGGTTAACTTCAGTTTGGGGGCATGCGAGAGATCTGCAGAGTGGATGGCAACATCAATAGCTTGATGTATCAAGACATCTTATCTTTGCTGCCCATTACATTATAAACCACAGGAGGGGTCAAATTCTTGAGTAGGATACCGCTCCTTTTCATACTTCAGCCTCCACATCAAAGTTCCTGAAAGCAAAGAATTCAAGGTGCTCCAGGATTGGCCAGCCCAGTCACCGGATAATAAACATTATTAAGCATGTCTGAGGTGAAATAGAGGAGGCATTGAAGATGAATCCAAAGAATCTTGATGAACTCTGGGAGTCCTGCAAGAACGCTTTGTTTGTTTTTTCAGACGACTTTATTAATAAGTTATTTGAGCCATTGCAGAGATGAATGGATGCAGTCGTCCAAGTTCATGGGAGTCGCACACATTATTAATACTTTTTCCGCTGCACCATGACTTTATATTCTATACTGTATATTATTTCTGTTAACTGACAAGACTTTTGTCTAGACAAACACAGACCTTACCATCCTAATTAATTAATAATCAAGGCATGATCATATTTTATTTTAGTAAAATACGTGTAATCTAGAGGCCTTTGCCTTTCATATAAGCCACTTCTGAGACCAAATGTTAAACTAGAAGTCAAGTTATTATTTGCTTTATTTCTTAAAGGTGACAAGACTCTTGTCAGGTAGTGTATAGATTATGCACTTTAGAATTTAGTGTCATCTTCAAACCATTCCCCAGTCGACGTTTAACAGTTAACGCTTTTGTAAAATAAATTGGCAAGTTACCAAATAGTACAACCCCAGTCACCACCAGGTGGTGGCATAAGAAAATTTTAATTACACTATCCGAAATGAAAAAGTAGTTCAACCTCAGAGCCTAATAACTCCTCCTCATTTGCTATGTGAAAAAGCTGCGACCGTTGAGTGCATGAACATTCCACACTTCTTTTGTTATCGGTTGAATAATTACGTCATGCGGTATTCAAAGTGCACTTATTCTTTTTAAAGTATTCAGAGTGAATGAGCTACTTACACTATTTATGCTACAAAATGACACAGAATAGTGCATAAGAATGCAATTTTGGAGTTTATTGATGTGTTTTTCTCTACTAAATAATGTGAGGCAGTTGTGGTGGGGGGAGAGGACATTTAGTGAATGGACGGCACCCTTCCCCCTTTCATTTAGCAGATAATCTTAATACTCTTTGGCATCTCCAAATCATCTGCAACGGCTTGGGTTAAAGGTCACGTCAGGAGATATCAGCCCAGAACTCAAACTGGCCACACCTTGCCTATATGTCAATATGGAACATAAATTTAGCTTATTTCTTCCTCCCCCCCCCCCCTCCTCTTTTCTTTGTCCTGTGGAGTCGAGAACTGTGTGCTTGCCAAAAAACACAAAGAAAGCTTCTCACAAATTTAAAATAATGGTCTGAATCATATTAGGTCCTGGAAGTGATGTTGTTTGAATTAAATTGTAGGCAGGAAGGCTGTTCTGGTCTTGATTTAATGGCTTATTTGAGAAATGGCTCCAGTGTTCCACTCACACCTCATTTAAGTGGGAGGCTTTTTTAAACAAACGCAACGTGTGAACCGAACAGTATATACATATATAGCCGGGTTCAAATGAGACCTTGTTGGAAATCTAAAAATTCGAATTTTAAAGGGGACCTATTATATCACTTTTCACAAGATGTAAAATAAGTCTCTGATGTCCATTGAGTGTGTATGTTAAAATTCAGCTCAAAATATTTCATGGATAATTTTTTATAACTCTTTTAGGCTCCTTTTAGGCTTTGATCTTAATTGTGCATTTGTGTCACTTTAAATTCAAATTTTTCCAGCTCTCTTTTTAAAAGAGGACAGAGCTATAAATGCCTGTGTGTCATAATATATCTCTGTATTGTATATTTAGAGTGTGTGTTATTTGCAGATTTAAGAACCAGACAAAACTGTTGTATGTATGTATGGATGGATGTATGTATGTATGCATGTATGCATGTATGTATGCATGCGCGTGTGTGTATGTGTGATTGTATGCATATATACACACACAACCACAGTAAATTTAGATATAAACATATGTATAGATACAGAAATAAAGATATAGATATATAGATAGTATTTTGCGGTACTATATATATACTTGTACTATATATAGTACTTACACACACACACACACACACACACAGAGTAGAAGTCAGAATTATTAGCCCACTTTTGAATTTTTTTTCTTTTTTAAATATTTCACAAATTATGTTTAACAGAGTAAGGAAATTTTCTCAGTATGTCTAATAATATTTTTTTCTTCTGGAGAAAGTCTTATTTGTCTTAATTCGACAAGAATAAAAACAGTTTTTAAGTTTTTATGAACTAGTTTATGTTTGACTGTCAACAGAAAAAAACATCATTATACAATAACTTGCCTAACTACTAATCTGCCTAGTTAACCTAATTAACCTAGTTAAGCCTCAGGTGAACGATGTAGGAATTACAACAGTTTGCATTTGTGCCTCCTACTTGTTAAGGGACCAAAAGTAATTGGACAGAATACTTATAAATCAAACTTTTACTTTTTAATACTTGGTTGCAAATATATATATTTAAGTTTGAGTAGCTTATTTTTTATTTTTCTAATTAATTGTAGTATTTATTATTAGTTTTTTAATTATTATGCCTGTAGAGATTTTATTTATTTTTAAACTGGACAAAACTAAGAAATGTATTTTTGGTAACTAACTTTAAAAAATTCTTGTTAAGGCCAGTTACTGCAATCATAGGTGTTCATAAGACTGTCATGACAACTTTATAATCATGACGTGACACAAGTCATATATATGAAGCAGATTTCATGCATGTTTATGACAACAAGTCATTCGCTCTGTTATGTCAAAGGGAAATGAGAGATTGTTTGAGATGTCTTTAGGACAGCTTGACATTACCAAGACAACATACAACTTGTCGTAAAAAACATTTTCATGATAAATTCAATTGTTCCACTGTAGTTGAGGTCCAGAAAAATACGAAGGACCCTGTTATAATATTCATGACACAGTTATAAACTCCTCATGAAATGTTTATAACAGATTTAGTACAAGTTAAGTTGTCTTGGTAATGTCAAGTTGTCATGAAAAAGAGGCGGTCAGGTTCTGTTGTCTTATAATGTCAATGACAAAGACATCTCACGTTTGCATTTAAAACAACATAACTGAACTTATGACACTAAATGACAGTTGTTATAAGCATGCATAAAATCTCTTTCTTATTCGTGACGTTACTTCTTTAAGTAAATTGTTGCCATTTGTTTTCCTTATATTTATGTTTATATGTTATTATTATATTCAACTCATTATTGAAATACAAATCAGCATTTAAGTCTAATCTCTTATTTTTCTTCTCTTGTGTGTGTTTTCAGTGCGCATAAAGCCGGGCTCCACCTCTCCAGTGGAGTATCAGTCTGAAAGTGATGCTGAGAGCGGCACAGAGTCTGGATCGGCCTCTTTTAGCACGCAAGGGATGGAACCTAGGTGAGGGAGAAACGGCATCTGCATATACATCTATCTCCATGCTTTCATCTAGAAATATATATGGCAGGGTAACTGGCATCCTGGTCTAATGGCATCACTGCACCACTTCTCTGGACGATTACATAACCTTCAGCACACTGGAGGCCCGTGGCTCTTCTTTGCCTTGATTACAAGCTGGATGCATCCTCTTCTGTTGTGTGTGTGTGTGTGAGTTGCTGGGCAGGGTTCTCTCCAAACTGGGTGTAAACAATGTTACATAACTTGCAATGTCGTCACACCTTTGAAACACAGAGTAAAATGCAAAGAAGGACAGACAGAAGTGGCTGGGCAGTCAGCAGAATGAAGATCAAGAGGGTCTTTCGTGTAGAATTGTTCGAACATGCGGGCAGATGATTGTTGGAAGAGGGAAAAATTCTATGGAAATGAGTTGGGAGAATGAGGGGAAAGGGAGTGAACTGGTTTACAGTGAGGGAGGGGAAAGGAAGAGGTTGAGAAGGAGAAAGAAAGAGGAAGGAAAGGAGGAGAAAGAAAAAACATGACAGGGGGAGGGGGATTGGGAGAGGGATCGGCATTGAACTGGAAGCTCTCCAGCTGTATGGAATTTAGATACACATACAGATTTGCTCGTCAGCGCCCCCTGGTGGACACATGAGGCTCTCGCGTGAGGGTCGTGAGTCACAGTGTCATGGTGCTACAGTATTTGCATATATTAGTCATAATTCTGTGATGGCCCAGAATCATTTTAAGTAGCATTTTCATAATGCCAGGTTATAACATGCATGCATAACCATTAGCGGCTACTGTTTGGTTCTATTAATATTGATTTTACTTTATGAAATCAGCGGAAATCACAGAACAGAGAGGTAGAATATAATTCCGTATGAGTTTATAGTGTGTGTGTGTGTGTTTATACACACACACACACACGCATATATATATATATATATATATGTATGTATGTATGTATGCATGTATGTATATGTGTATGTATGTATGTGTACGTATGTATGTATGTATATATATATATATACATACATACATATACACACACACACACACACACACACACACACACATACATATATATATATATAAATAAATATATAAATAAATATATATAAATAAATAAATATATATATATATATATATATATATATATATATATATATATATATATATATATATATATATATATACATATATATATATATATATATATATATATATATACATATACACACACACACACACACACACACACACACACACACACACACACACACACACACACACACAGTTGAAGTCAGAATTATTAGCCCCCTTTTGATTTTGATTTTTTGAATATTTCCCAAATGATGTTTAACAGAGCAATGACAATTTCACAGTATGCCTGATAATATTTTTTTCTTCTGGAAAAAGTCTTATTTGTTTTATTTTGGCTAGAATAAAAGCAGTTATAAATTTTTTAAAAACCATTTTTGAGACAAAATTATTAGCCCCTTTAAGCTATTTTTTTTCGATAGTCTACAGAACAAACCATCATTATACAATAACTTGCCTTATTGTCTTAAAAAATATCAAGTAAAATATTATTTACTGTCATCATGGCAAAGATAAAATAAATCTGTTATTAGAAATAAGTTTTTAAAACTATTATGCTTAGAAGAGTGTTGAAACAATCTTCCCTCCATTAAACAGAAATTAGGGAAAAAATATACAGAGGCGCTAATAATTCTGACTTCAACTGTATGTATATATATATATATATATATATATATATATATATATATATATATATATATATATATATATATGTAAACACACGTGTGTGTGTGTATTGAACAACACCCATTTTTGTCTTGATATGAAAGATATATCAATGTGCAATACTGTATATGTAATATAGTGTTGGGCTAAAAGTAATACATAAAAGTTTTAAGTTTATCTTACTCTAAATAAGGCAAAAATAACAACACATACTGCCTTTCTTTGAAAAATAAATAACAATTTAGTTTGTTTTGTTTTGCTTTTCCCCAACACTGTCTATAATTGAACGTCATATAAACAGTCACTTTGTTTTTTTACTAGATGAATCAGGATAGTGTCAGGTCACTGTGTAATGCTGGTGGAGGAAAACGTTTCCTGACTCACTCCTCCAAAACATCCTAAGTGGCTTAATAATATTTAGGTCTGGTGACTGTGCAGGCCATGGGAGAAGGTCATCTTGCTGTGTGTATTGGTGCGTTATCATCCTGATACACAGCACTGTCTTCAGGATACAATGTTTGAACTATTGGATTCACATGGTCCTCCAGAATGATTTGGTAGTCCTTGGCAGTGAAATGGCCATCTAACAGAAGTGTTGGGCCTAGGGAATGTCATGATATTGCAGCCCAAACCTTCACTGATCACCCCACACTAACTCTCTCGGATATGGGAAAGACAGTGAAGGTGGTCTCATGTGATAGTGGAAAACATTTTCCTCCACCAGCATCACATGGTGACCTGGACACTGTTCTGCAAGCCTTTTATTTACTATAAATTATGAGCAAAAGTTTTTGGTAACACTTTATAATAACTACACACTATGAACCATTTATTAAGCATTAGCATGTAGTGAATTCATTATTTGTTAAGCATTGACTCTACATTAATAAATGTTAGTAAGCAGTTTATAACTGCAGCTACAAATGCTCTATTCTTGACTTATAAGCACCTATATAATGTGCTTAATAATTGTATTTTCATACTTAGATAACAATTTATTTTTCTTTACTAAATTAAGTATTGCATTATTTACAAACCAGTTGTATTTAAGAGTAGTTGAGGGTTTTAAGAATCATTCAGAATGAGTTAGAAAATTATTAATAAACTATTGAAATCAACATTTATATATCTTTAATAGTTAACTAATATGTTAATAAATGCTTTATTAACTCAACTTCATGCAGTTTTGTGACCTAATCTAAAATGAGGACTATTCATGCTTTATAAATCCCTTATAAATGACTAATAAAGGCTCAGAATCAAATAAACAAGAATCTCTGCAATCTTTTCTAAAAAGTAAAAATTATTGTAAAGTTCAAACATTGCCAAACAACAGGAGTGTCAAAATACGACATAATACTGGATAAAACAACAACAACAATACAATAGTTTAACAATGTAATAAGATGCAATGTTTAAACTCTACAGTGATTTTATTTTAGATTAGGTTGCAAAGATTTATTTTTCAATTGAAGTACAGTTTCATTTGTGTATCTTTAAATGAATAGGAATGAATAATGTCATTTTTTTAATAATTTAACTGAGCCTTTATTTGTGATTTATAAGGGATTTATAACGCATAAATAGTCCTCACTTTAGATTGAGTCACAAAACTAGGTGAAGTTGAGTTAATAAAGCATTTATTAATATACATAGTAACCATTAATATATGCCTGAATAATCAGAAACCCTCAACTACTCTTAAATACAAATGGTTTGTAAATAATGCGATACCTAATTTAGTAATGAAAAATAAATCATTAACAAAGCATGAAAATACAATTATTAAGCGCATTTTAAATATGTTTGTAAGTCAAGAATAGAGCATTTGTAGCTGCAGTTATAAACTGCTTTCTAACGCTGATTAATATAGAGTTAATGCTTAGCAGATAATGAAGTCACTATTTGCTGATGCTTAATAAATGATTTGTGGTACCAAGTTTTTTTTTTTTTTTCACAAAGCTTCAATAATTTAGAAACGTTATAAAGATGCATAATATATAATACAGTTTGCTTTATAGAGTTAAACGTGTTACAGTGTTTGTGTTATTCACCTATTGTGATCACTGTAATCCAGTGGACTTTTGATGGATTAATCTGTTTTGCTCATAAAAAATAATGCTGAATGTTTGTACCTGCCTTCACATGCTCAAACTCTCCTGTAATCTTTAGATTATTGCAGAGGTTCAAGTTTGACTGCAGCTGGTCGCCCCACCTTAACTCAAATCTCAAATGTTTTGTGTGTGTGTGTGTGTGTGTGTGTTTTTTTGTAGTATAAATACAGATGTGGACATTCCAGCTGACCCTGACTCACCGGACATGAAGAGACGACGCGTTCACATGTGTGATTATGACGGCTGTAACAAAGTCTACACCAAGAGCTCACATCTAAAAGCCCATCGCAGAATACACACAGGTACACGCACCTTTCTGGCATTATCTTCATCAATACTGTTATTAATATTTATTAGGCCTGGGACAAGCTGATGGTCAGCCGTTGGGCTTTGTCGCTCAGGCTAGTTGGTTTGGTGTGTTCCACATGTCACCTCTCGATGGGTTAACTGTAATTTTGCTACATTTCTCAAATATTTGCAAAAACTTTGGATTATTTGATTATCACACATATTTGCTTGAGTGAAACTTACTGTGATAATGGTACTGAACACTGCTTTGTCTGTGCATCTCTGAAGTTTGGTTTCCTTTTGCGGAACGAGAAAACCGACTGCTGCCCCCCTCAGATCAGAAAGACATGTTTTCTGCACTGGCTCCCATTTCAGTAGGCTTTTATCCATTTGGTGTGTTCATGAACAGCTTTTTGCTCTGGCGACAGCGCAGTTGATCGCTAGTTGTTTGGCATAGGCTTAGAGTGTCCTTGTTCTTAGATGCACCTGTAAATTGAACAGTGAACAGTGAACAGTATTGATTGTTTAAAAACAGCCAATTATGAAAGTCCAGTATATAATGGTAAACAAGAGGATGGGAAATAAAATTCATACAATCTTTAAAGAAAATATACCATCTATAAATCACTTGAGTGGAATTACTTATTTTATTGATTAGTTATTTATTAATAATAATAATAATAAAAGTTGGGGGCGGTCGGAGCAATCTGAAAGTGAAGACCAATGGGTGTTGGGCAGTGTGCTTGAGCGATCCCGATGGCCAGTCCACCCCTATTGCGCAAGTGACAAAAAAAGGTATCTAAGTTTAACATGGTGCTGTAAAATCGATCTTTTGCTTATTTTACTATTGCTTTTACTTTAACCTAACGTAATCACCCCAGGGGCTACAATACAATAGAAACTCATTAAAGCTTATGGCATTTATTTGCTTGTTGTTTTTTTAATTATTAAAGTACACATGAAATCAAAACTAACCATATGATTTTCATTCATTCATTCATTCATTCATTTTCTTGTCGGCTTAGTCCCTTTATTAATCCGGGGTCGCCACAGCGGAATGAACCGCCAACTTATCCAGCAAGTTTTTACACAGCAGATGCCCTTCCAGCCGCAACCCATCTCTGGGAAACATCCACACACACACTCATACAGTACGGACAATTTAGCTTACCCAATTCACCTTTACTGCATGTCTTTAGACTGTGGGGGAAACCGGAGCACCCGGAGGAAACCCACGCGAAGGCAGGGAGAACATGCAATCTCCACACAGAAACACCAACTGAGCCGAGGCTCGAACCAGCGACCCAGCGACCTTCTTGCTGTGAGGCGACAGCACTACCTACTGCGCCACTGCCTCGCCTAACCATATGTTTTTTTTTAACTCTCATTGCTAGTTTTGTATTGAACAATTCATCAGTGCATGTCATTAAGAAAAAAAAGTTTTCCCTTCTTTCTTTTTTTACCCAGGTTCTGCAGTTTGCAATCTCCTGAATTTTGCTTGCCAATCTTAAGCCAATTGTTATGGAGTGTTTTGGTTCAATTTAGAATTTCCCCAACCACTGCAGAGCCTGGGGGACCAGAATGCTCCGACTTGTCCCCCCTGATCCAAGTTTGCCCTTCTAACCTAAAAATAAAATCTGGAAATGTACTTCCTGCTTGTTTTAAGTTACGTCTGCTTGAGGTGTTGGACATAGTTAAGAAGGTGTCTGTTGTAATAACTCTCCCCAAATCCTTTTCCTGAGCTTTCTAAATGAAATACATACTTTTCTACGTTTAAGCAGCTTGCTGTAGAAAAAACAAGCTACGCTCACTGTTTGTTCATTTAATATTTCATTTCTCTAGGAACTTTGTCGTAGTATGAAAAAAAAAAGTTGCAGCTTCCTGTTCATGCCGACTTTAACTACTATTTTATTTATTTTTTGTTAGTTAAGCATAAACTATAGGAAATCTAATAGTTTAATTTATTTAAATAAATACATTTATTTATTTATTTAATTTAATAAATTTATTTAATAAATGTATTTAATTTTTGAAATCACCATGTAACCCCCACTTTGGGAAGCACTGCACTAGATAGGACGATTGACCAATCCAAGTTATTCCTGACTGTCATATAATCAGTTTATTGACATGTTTATGTTTTTGTTTTTTTATAGGTGAAAAACCATACCAGTGCACATGGGAGGGCTGTACCTGGCGCTTTGCCCGCTCGGATGAGCTGACGCGGCACTTTCGCAAGCACACCGGCATCAAACCCTTTCGCTGCACCGACTGCGACCGCAGTTTCTCGCGCTCTGATCACCTGGCACTTCACCGACGGCGCCACGTCATGATGTGAAACTCTGTCCACCTCACCATCCCCAGCCCTCACCTCCCTGCTTGCTCCTCAGGAGACCTGCGCGCTCTTCAGGGGGTCCAAACGCTGTCGACGCCACCCGTCCAGTCTCCAGATACGAACCTTTGTATTGAATAAGGAGAATAAAAATGGTAGGTGGCACGATCATATTGGTGACCCCCCCCCCACCTCCTGGTCAGAACATGGCTGCAGTTTATCGCCATGCTTTTAGAAGCCACAAACCGCTCATCCCGTCCACTGGTGACGTCCACCACCATCTCAATGCCTGATCATTAGCCGTTACTTGAAGAGACTACAAGGAAGGCAAAACCGCACTGCTACGAGCAGAGAGAGTGATGATTGGGAAAGGTACTGTTTATTAAAATGAAACCAGTAAAGAGATGCACAAGAAAGTCAAGGATTTTATGCAAGATGGTGAGGAAGAAGTAGAGTTACGTAATGAGTTGATCGTTTTAATGATATTGGTGGGTTGAAGATGCATCTACAGCTGCCTCGTTGAATTCTTACGTTTGCTTTACGTCGTTTTAAATTCGCTCTACCTGAATTTTAGTTTGCGTGTTGATGGAGGTTGGCGTAGAGCACATTGTTAAGACAGCTGAAGATGTACCATACCCCTTTTTAGTGTTTTAACAAATCAGTTAGGGCCCTTTTCTGATATTTACCCTAACCCAAATGAGAAGTAGAGGCAGGGGGCTGACAAGACTGTGAATTTTTTGTACGTTTCTTTTTCTTGATTAGTATACGTCGTCTAAGCATCTTCCCGAAAATAGTTTGGCGCAAATAACAGTATTTGTTTTTCTGTTGTATTTTTAAAAAAAGCCAAAAATGGCGTCTAACAGAATTCACACCCATCAGAAGGTGTTCTTTACCTAACCTTTAGATATTATTTGATAAGGCTGTGAAAATACATAAAAAAGAATCAACTTGCAGGGAAAGGGGGAGCTTGTTAAATTGATGTGTGTGTGTGTGTGTTTGTGTGTGTGTGTGTGTGTGTGTGTATAAGCACATTTGTAAAAACATAATCAGAGATATAATAGTAGAGATGTCTAAACGCAGTTACTTCTAGCCCATCAGAGCCTTAATTGAAGTAAACGTGCAAATCTAATTTGCGCAACAGGTTTTCAGAGTTCCTCAGGGTTCAGTTATGGGACCCCTATTTTTGCGAGGCACCCTGAAAATCCCTATTTGCACCGAGTTCAGCGTAGCAAAACATGTCTTAACAGCTCCTGATATGCATGATATGCAAAAATACCCCTTCCCCTGAAAAAAAAAAATGCTGTTAATGTTATTTGACGTTGATGTCATGAAAATGTTGGGCACAGTCCATCTAAACCTAAAGAGAAAGGGTCTCTTGGACACATTTCGTCCCTCTAGCTAGCACTCATAGCCATGGTCATAATTTCAATCGCTAGCAGCTAGCTAATTGTGCGCATTTCGCCTTTTTATTTCGATTCCAGCCTTTAAGAGTTAAGCGCATGTCTGCAACAGCTTCACGATCTTGGATCCGGATGCATCCGTACTTTTTTTTTTCACTTCAACTCTAAAACGTTCCTAAGCACATCTAGAAGAGTATATGCATTCGATTGCGATTCTTTCTTCTTTCTTTTAAAACTGTTCAAAGACACGCAGACAATGATTAATTAAGGAATTAATGTACATACTGTAAATAATCGACAAAGTTCTTGAATAAATGTAACGGGTGGATTTCTATTTTTAACACTGACTAGATAATGTGAAATATTTGTTTTGGTTTTTATTTTTGAAATCCTTGAATGGAGTTCCCAAATGTGTTGTACACCCTTAAAAGTGTTGCATGGAGGGTAGATTATTTTTCGTTGTGAAGTCGGTGAGCATGTCTAAGCATCGGTGCCCTGACAGACGTGGCCTATAAGCACTGATAATCCACACAGAATCAATGAAATGTGTACAACTATTCGTAGCACATGCACGGCCTATTTCTAATAACCACGAGACATGCCGGTCAAACTTCTACGTTCATATCATCCTAAATCGACATTATTCTATTCCAAGATGGCATAATGTTGGGAGTCGGCCCCCTTATCAATGTTTAAGTGCCCATGACTGAAATTTGTGACATCCTCGTCTATCTGTGCACGTTTGCTTTCATCATTTGTATCTGATTTGTTTTGGAAAAGTGCGCTCGAATCATGACAGGGTTTGGGTTTGGTGTGAGTGTATGTGTGCAAGTGTGTGGTTCTCATGAAATTTCTCTTTTAAACTCAGAATCATAGGTATTTTATATTGAATGCAGTAACTTATGGGCCAGTACTATATTACTCAGTGCAATGCAGTTATCATTATAACAAAAACAAGTAATTAATGTTATTTCTTTTGTATTTGTACAGAACAAGTGTGTAAAGATCAGTGAGGAAAACGCGAGCTTTTTGATACTGTGAGAAATGGTGTTAAAAGTCAGTTTCCCCTGTACAGTTGTGATTACCCACTCCTTTTATAGAATAAAATGTTTTTGGTGCAACTCTGCGTTGTGTATCGTAATTCCGGTGTTATCTTTTTGTTTTTTGTCAAAGAGAAAAGAAACAAAATCAATAAGCAAGGATCAGTGTCTGCTCATGGTGGCTATAATCTAAGATATACTATAAATTTCTTAATAATAATTTACTGTAATTAAAAAACAAGATTCCCCATTTTATATAAATTTACACTAGAGCTGCACGATTCTGGCTAAAATGAGAATCGCGATTTTTTTTTTTTGTTGCTTAAAATAAAGCACGATTCTCTCACGATTCTGTAGGTGTAAAATAAAGGTATGGTAAAAACAAACATATGGCACAACATCGATAATAATATTATGTGTAGGTCTTCTGGTTTCTTTAAATAATTCTATTCTACTTATAATAATTCTGATGTTGAATTATTATGTTTGAGATATATGCTTGCAATCGGTCATATTAGACAATTATATTCACTGGTAAAATCAGACATTTGCCATTATCAGATTATATTCAACATTATATAGGCTAGAGTAGTTATACTGACACTGTAAACATTTATTTTTATGCACAACTGTGTGTTCGCTATGAAAGAAAAAAACATCAAATGCTTGTCACAATTATAACTCTAAAATGCGATATGATCATTTAAATGAAGTGCACACTTTCGGTTTCATTTTGACTGCTAAGTACTGTTAATACTTCCCGCACGGCTCCCAAACGATCACTCTGTGCCACAAACTGAATATTATTTACAATTGTATTACCTGTCACTCACAACATATGCAGGTTCTGTTCCCTAAAGTACACGCGCGCGCATCTATCATTAAGTAGAGCGAGCGGGCGCGCGCCTTTTCTGCTCACGGTCAGCAGCTCACGTCACGTGTGATTTCCCGGCCGTGAAAACATCATTATATAAAGACAAAAATGACATCTTTAGGTGAACTACACCTTATAAATACAGTATGTGACTCATTCAACATCATTTGGAGGTGTCAATGTCACTGAGCAACGTATGTGAAACAATAGCCCCTTTCACACAGTGATACCGGTAAATATCTGGAAAATTTCCGGAACGACTTTACCGGTATATTCAAAAAAGCGCTGTTCACACAGGCGAGGACGTTACGGAAATTTTCCGGAAAAGAGCATTCACACATCCATTCCAAAATACCGGTAAATTCTGACATCATTCACCACAAATGAGCTTTAACGGCTGCGCTTGTATTTGTAAACATTTGCCTAAATTACAAACTCTGTGGATGATCAATATTGTGAACAACTTTCGCAGGATCACTTTCGCATGTCGAGATGTTCATAATATTTGCGTGTGCAGGCGCTCACAGGCACACGCAAAGCTTGAAGGTAAACAAACAACGGCTTATCATAAGCATCTCATCGATGATTATTTACACAGTTGGCATAAAGAAGAACATATAAACGTGATCTGACTAACTTCTAGCAGCTAAATGTGTCTGGAAAAATATTCAAAGGCTTTTATCCTCACAAACCGCGCGGACGTAAATGCGTCTGACTGTTGTGATTGGCTAAAGCAGACGTCTCACGTCAGCACGTTCTAGACGTGCACGCGCTTATTACGGTAATCTTCCTTTTGCGTTCACACAGCGCAGCATTCCGGCAAATTGCCGGTAATGTTACAACTTCTCTTTCCGGAAAATAGCCAGAACGAATTTACCGGTATTTTCAAAAAGGACCTGTTCACACATACAACCACATACAAGAAAGGTCTGTATGTGTGAAAGGGGCTAATGATAACACTCGACCGGCCGCCTTTACTTCTCTCCTGAACTTGAAAATATGATTGACAGAATCGTAGAAATGCAGAATTAAGATCGTCTAGGGCACAGGTGTCAAACTCAGTTCCAAAAGGGCCGCAGCTCTGCACAGTTTAGTTCCAACCCTAATTAAACACACCTGATCAAACTAATTGAGTCCTTCAGGCTTGTTTGAAACCTACAGGTAAGTGTGTTGGAGCAGGGTTGGAACTAAACTGTGCAGGGCTTCGGCCCTCCAGGAATTGAGTTTGACGCCCCTGGTCTAGGGGGTCGAATTGAGATCGTGATCTTTTAACGATTAATTGTGCAGCTCTAATTTACACATTTTGTTTTCTGAGTTGTGGATTTTTAAACCTGGGTGTGTATGAAACGGTATCAAAAATTCCCATCAGGTGAAGTTTTTTTTCCCTCTCCGCTGTCGCCACTGCCTCGCATGGTTCAGGATTGGTAGAGCTACGCATCGATGAATTGGCTCTTCAGTGTTTGGACTCTCAGTAATGATTAAATCACACTGAACTGAGCTAAACTGAACTGAACTAAACTTAAACACTAAAACCTGAACCACACTGTTCCAGTTACTGAACCACACTGTTCCAGTTACTATGACCATTTATGTGAAGCTGCTTTGACACAATCTACATTGTAAAAGCGCTATACAAATAAAGCTGAATTGAATTGAATTGAAAAAAACAAAAAAGTTAACAAATATTTTGATAAACTTAAACTTAAAAGGCACCTATTTTACCTCTTTTACGAGTTAAGCCTTTGGTGTTAGCAGAATGTGTCTGTGAAGTTTTAGCTAAAAAAAAAAACCTCAGTATATTTATTATATAGTGTAGAATTTGCCCATTTTGGTGTCTGAGAATTATGTAGCTGTTTTTGTAGCCTGTGGCTTTAAATTCAAATGAGGTGTTCTCCCTGCGTACCGTTTCCACATGTGTGTCTGCTTCTCATGAGTTACGTCCAGGGCCGGCCCAGTACATTTGGGGCCCTAGCTTGCTTTAAATAGTGAAGTATTGCCATTGCAAACTGGCCCACATTGATTATATTGCTTATTAAATACAATAAAAAAAACAAAAAGTAAAGCCTGATTTCTTCTGCTCAATAACTCTCTGAATGACTTGATCACTTTAAAACAGCACTATTTTTGTCAACTACCAGCTTCAAAAAATGAAGAATTAAACACTCTTTAATAAAGGGACCAGTGATTCCTACTTTGCGTCCTTCTGGTGTGTTTAAAACATATTCTATTAATTTAGTAAACAGATTGAAGATTCTATAAAAGATTCTAGTTTTTTTTTTTTTCTCATAAATTAAAAGAGCAAAAACCCTGCAATGAAACAACACTGAACAATAATCAGCCAAAAGTAAAAATGCATTACTTTCTATTATAATTTCTTTATAATAATAAAATGTACATTCTGAACTCAAAAGAAATGTTTATTAATTAAAACATTCATGCAAAGATTGATCCATAAATAATAAAATCAATAAGCAAATAATATAAACATGAAAAATGTTATATGAAAACTTGAGAAAATACTGGGTTATGGTTAATACCCAAACACAAACTTTATTATTCTCTTCAGTCTCCTTCCCTGTTCCTTACATTTGAGATGCAGGGTTCAGAGCTTATATGAATAATTCAATTAGGTTATAACCTTATATTACATAAATATTACCAGTGTGCAAAATATGTCTGTGAAAGACACTTCAGTACTATTGCATTTCAGTTAAATGCGTTTTAGACTAAAAACGGGTCTGTAAAACCAGGAAAAAATAAAATATTTCATATAACTAGATGACGTTTTTTAATTTGTGATTGCCTATTTTCAATATATGTGCCACTAGATTATGTCTTTAACTTGTCGTCAATTTTATTATTAAGATTATGTCTTTAACTGGTCGTCAATTTTTCCCTCAGTTTTTCTACGCCTGAAGAACATTTGTTTCATTTTTGCTGTCCAATTTCCAATATAAATCAGGTATATAAATTGGGCCGGCAATGAAGCATCGACTATGGATTTGTGTTCTTGTGGTGACCGGTAGGTCTTAAGCCGCCTTTTCACTGCACATGACAAACGACAAGCGACAGACCGGAAGTCATTTATTTCCAATGGAGATCAGTCCGGGAGCTGCGTGGAGTTCCGATCATCTCCGTATGCGGAAAATTCAGATCCCAATTGAGCTGCGGATCCGTTGAAATACTTGAACTCCTGCGACTAGACCGTATGCGACCTGCCGACCGGATATGATGTATTCCAGTGTTGTCCAACAGGTCCGTGCGCGCGAGATGAGAAATAGGACTTTATTTGGTTATTTTTTTTTATCTAAAAAGTCTATATTAAAAAAAAACTTCTGTTCATAAATGTAAGTAAGAAAGTTATAAAAATATATATTTTAATGTTGTCTCCACATTCCCTCCAATATTTTAGCGGTCTATGAGTTTCTAGTATTCATTCATCCATTAAACCATGTAAACGCACAGGGAATAAAGGCTTTTGCTTTTGCACTCCTTTATTTCGAACACCTTGTCAATCAGTTTCTCCCCCACGGTGCATGACAACACTGAAAATACTGTGCGGCTGCCACAAGGGGGCGTATTCTGACAGTCGTGTTCAAATGTCGTGTGCAGTGGAAAGGCGGCTTTACAGGCTACGATAGAAGAACAAACTCAAACCGCGAGAACACAGAACACATATGAGAAATGAGATGGGGCAAGCTTCATGGTGATGACATGACCTACACATGAAAACAATTTCAACTGTAATAAAATTTAGATTTTTTTTCTTTTTTTGGGAAAATGTATAAATATTTATTAATTTTAATATTTGTAATTTGTAGAATGCAAATTAAACAATTTCAGCAAGGAAACGGCTCACATCACTAGTGGATTGTGGGGGCCCCCTTGTGGTGGCAGGGCCCTAAGCAGCCACTTAGTTTGCTTATAGGGAGGGCTGGCTAGATAAACAGCAGTCAGTGACAGAGACAGTCTCGGATGAAGCTTGGATAAGGTCACTAGTCAAAAAATACCAAGTAAGTTTATCTGATGTATTTGTGGTGGAGTTTATTCAAGCCCTTCTGAAACAATGAGTCAAAAACAAATGCTACACGCACATATGCACGTTTACTGACACCATGCGGCCGTGGTGATTATAGCAGTTAAGAATTCCACATCGATTTTACTGTCTTTATTACAGACATGCTCTGTTTTAAAAAAATGTAAACTT